ATCGACTGCCAGTGGATTGTTTTCTGATCACTGTATTAGTGGCATATCCATATTCTCGAGCGGAAGTGATGATGATGATAATAATAATGGTGATGGGAATCATGTCAATGACACGGATGATAAGGAACCAAAACCATCAACATCTGGAAATTATCTGCAACAATGGACACCTCAGTATAGTTCATTGTTATCCATATTTGCAACATTATCATCCGGAAATTTTTTGTCCGAAAACGAAATAACACAAATATTCTCACGGTTCGTTAATATTAGAGAGATGAATAGTTTGAAAAATAATGAACTTGAGCAATGTCAAAAAATTTTAAGATATAATATTTTGAAATCTATTGTGGTGAAAGTTAAAATGAAATACTGCCATCATTTCAAATGATTTATAGATAGTATATATATGTATATATATGCTATATATAATATATAGATAACATTATATCATTTTGAAGCAACGATGGGATTCTTGAGATATTTTCTCTCATGTAGAACTAACAGCATCCAAATAATCAATTTTAGCTATTCCAGCAAATATTTTTGAGGTAAAAAATTAAGTCTTAATAAGTAAGCATTTAACTGAAATGTTCAAATAACCAGATTTAAAGTATTTTCTGCCATTCTTTATTTCTAATTCTCCTTTTCTGCCAATAAAAACTTTAAAATTCTTATTTACTTCACCATTTTGAATTCAAATTAAAAAATTAAAAGGACTAATAATTCTTAGGGTTCAATTCATTATTAGAGAAGACTTTTCGACTTCGTATAACACGAAAGTCAGGTGATAAAAGTTGTGCATTTATAGAAAACTGGAAGAATCTAACAGCAGGAAATTCTCATTTTTTCTTTCTCAAAAAATTAAATGAATGATAGAAATTTGTTCATAAATAGGAATTTTATTCTGTAATTAATTAAAAGACATTTACAAAATACCGTTCATTCAGGTATAAATCTCATCTTCGGTGATATGGAAGTAAGTGAAAGTACTTTTAATACAAACACTATATTACTTAAATAAGCGAGAAAATTTGAGAATTTAGTCTTATAGGTATGGAAATATAAAAGAAGTAAAATGGATTCAAATAAGCGATAATAATGGCTATATTATTGTGTTCAGTAATGAAATTGAAAAAGAGAATGCAATTAAGGTACAACAAATAGATATCATTTTCAACTCTAACTTTCACTTAAATTTCATAGTTCTAGGCTGTTTGCCAATATTATAAATTTCAATTTCGACAAAATGGAGGATATAAGCATAGTTTTTTGCTGGGTTAAGTACAAGAAAAGGATTGATCGAAGTAAAAACAGGCTGATTTAATTTTTTAGTGAATATGTTATGTAAACGGAGAACCAATCGTTTAGACTTAACATTCATTTTATATTCTGTCACAATATTTCTCATATTACATTTATTTCAAAATTTTAAAAGTAATTTCAAAAAATTTGAAAGATATGTGGCAATAAAATGGAGACAAAGGGAAGAGTGTTGAAATTATGGAGTTTCAAACAAGCTCATCTACTTATGAATAACAACCAACTAGCCGTTGTTGACACGACGAATTGTACTTCTCATAAGTGTTAACAGTTTTATTCCAAAATTGGAAGAATTTTTGCAGTAACGGCAACAATTAAAAAGCGGGAATGAGAGATGAAAATTTTGTATTCCTGAATTAATTAAGAAGGCGAATATATTACAGGAAATATGATATGAGCTTATAAATAGTCGCTTTTCTCCATTTCAAACTCTCTGTCAAAGAATGAGCTTTATTCAAAAACTGCTAGCTGTTTCAGGACGGTCAAGAAGATAATTTTAAAGAAAGAGGACAAAGTACATAATAACGCTAGGAAGATTGGGATCAAATTGTAGCTCCATACAGTAGCGAATAATCCTGTCATCTAATTTCTCACTCTGTCAACTATACTTACTCTGACAATGTTAATAAGTAGATTTTGTACAACTGCTACTGTGAAAATCATTATAATCAGTAATTTAAATATTCCATAAGTCATTGCAAGTTTTTTACATTAATAAAGTTAGGCCTAAAAAAAGTGATAGAATTAGCATATCAAATAATACTTAATTTGTATTGTACCTGTCCCATAGATAAAGGTAAAAAGGAATCAAATGGTTAACATTTGCAGCGATGAAAGATGAGGATGATAATGATTCATGCATTATTGATAACACGAAGCTACTTGGACTCCCTAATTCATCCCAAAGCAGTTCTAACAATGATATGAGCAAGCATTATCAGATTTCTTCTCATCCAAATGCTTCAGCAATGATTCTCAACGAAAATATGCCATCCCCGGAACGACCGGGTACTAGGCCATCACCGGCCACTGCCTTTTTATTGAAACAAATTTCTGAAGCTAATATGCCTGAGGTGCGTGGTGATTTAATTTTTTAGTCAATGTTTTTCGAACTTTTAAACTTGTTTTTTCTTCATTACATTCAAACGTCCCTTGGTCACTTTTTTTTTACAATCTATGACTTGAATTTTAGACGGGTCAATTTTATGAGAGGATATCACATGATAGTGGAAGTGAGAAGAACCGTTTCTTAAATCTACCAGCACCATATCATCTGTTACCCGATACACCGTATTTTCGTCGTGCGCCAATTGTGCCTCCACCAACAAGGTTATAGCATATCTACCAAAATCAATGCCAAATCTTTGAAATTTCTTATTTCAATGCGATCGAAAATTTTCCTCTTTACCAAGCTATTTCGCCCTCGTGATTTCTATCCCGATATCCTTTGATTGATTACCCTCTGATCTCAGCGCTTTTGACTAAAAATTGCTATAAGCATTAAAGAATTACTAGTTATTAGCTTTCCTGAAAAAGAAATATTGATTCCCGTTGATTCTGTCTTCTTTCTTCAAGCCACGGAAGGTTGTAAAGGTTGTAATTTTTGAACTTTTATTTTTTTAATAACCAAAAACTATTCACTTTCTCAATTTCTCTTAATTCTCTTCTCTTAACTAAATTCAATTTCTCTCATCTGACAAATATAATCTTCAATGGAATTCTGACATTACATTCTTGTTTAGGCCTTCAGCAAATCTGAAATTCGAATAATTATTGATGCTCTGAAGAAAGCTTCGCCTTAAGAAATCATATAGGGCTAACTTTAAATAGAAGAGAGATGAGGATATGTGCTCTTCTCCAAAATCTATCTAACTTATTATTTATTGGAAAATTAAGTTCAAAGAACTAATTTCTCAAGTATCCGGAAATGTAGTTTTTGCAGCATTATGAATAAGCTATTTTGATTAAAAAAAATGCTGGCAGATAAGAGGATAGCTTTTGTAACTTGTATAATGTTAGAATTGTAAATAATGAAAAGTATCTAAAAGGAATTATTATTCAAGATTTCATAGCTGAAAAGTGGCCTTAGTTAGCCTTACTTATTTACTTACTTACTTACTAAGTTACTTATTATGTTATTTATTTACTTATTATTTGTTACTTGTATTTACTCACTTAGTTAGTATTAATGTTAGCGTAATTTGTCTTATGCTACTTAACTAGTACTTATTCAACAAGAACGAATGCATAAAAAAACAAATAATAAATATGTTTATTTTAAATCACACCAATATATTATGATAAAAAATCAAGCTAAAATCCATAAATTTCTTTCTATTTTTACAACGTAAATGCCAAAATTCTTATCAATATTTGTATTGAAACTGGTAACATTAAGTCAAATATAAGTAATATTTATGATTTAATAAGTTTCTTATCAAAAGATTTGAATAAGAATTTAAAATTTCTCGTCATTTTCCGCATTTCTCTTCTTAATGATTTTATTTGCAAAAATATGATTTGTGTACAGTTGTTGATTGATAAACTTTTCTTTCTACAATGCTGCAATTTTTTATTCCCTAATTCTGAGGAAGTTTGCAATATTTTAAAAGATAGCCCGAGTTGTTTAATGCTTTAAGAAAAAATGACAGTGGATACCTGCAATTGCCACATACATTTCATCATTAAACAATTCCCTAATCTCAAGATAATTCTTGTTCCAGACTTATTTTTCCGGTTGAAAATAAGAAAACGGACTTATAACAAAAAACAGTTGTAGGAGTTTATCCACAACAGAGCAGATACCCATCCAACAACGTATTATTAATCGTTATCTGGCAAGCATGAAGATGGATGATGAAAATGGTTTTGCGGCGATAGCACAATATGAACGAGAATGCTATGAACATTTATATATATCATCATATCCTTCGGTAACAATACCGGAACAGCAACGATATAGATATTTTGGAGGGGAAAGATTTCGAGAAGGTGCAGGAAAAATAGGAGCTGAATTTGATGCTAGATCACGATTAAATATAAATGCAGGGAAGCATATTATATCTACCGATTTCTTTGGTTCTTCAATGATTGATGATGAAACAAAGATATGTAGCACTCTAGGAGATAGCACTAATGGTGATTTGTCAACACGATTGCCAAATCAGAATTACGAAATATGAAATTGTCCACCATTATGCAATAGAATTTCAATTTCAAAGAATAGTATGGAATTTTTTATTCGGGAGGAAATATTTACCATCAGTTCGTCTATCTGCCTGTGAAATTTTGATGCAAGCATGTTCGAATACACACTTGTATATTTTATATTATCACTATTATTTATATTATTATTGCTATATATTTCAATTTCGACAAGAAGAAAACATTTCGGCAAATGAAAGATTTAACAAAATTGATTTTTCTGAATTGCTTCGTAGAAAATGCATGAATATTTTCCAGCCATATACTGACTACACTTCCAATTTTCAATGTCGTTCTTAACTTGCTTCCTTTAATGCTTCTTTAATAGAATAGTTTATTTTGCATTCAATTTTTTATTTTATTTTTCCTAATTTCGGTTCTTTATTTTCTAATACTTTGTTATATCTTTCTTGGGAAGCTGCTTTAGGGCCATGAAAGCATAAAATATCATAAGTTATATTTTTCGATTGAAACCTGGTATCTGTTATGAGTAGACAAACATTTGTCTGAATTTTCAAAATGAAAAATTAGCCTCACGTGACTACCTTATAACAGCGTAGAATAATAGTTGAAATATTTAAGTGACACGGTATTTTTCCTTAACACTGCACAAGAAAAGGCTTTTTGCGAACTAAATGAAAAATAAATTGTGAAAATTTGTTAAACGCTGGTATAAAATGAAATGGGTCATTATTGAAATAGTTGATTTTCAAGGTAAAAGAATTGTTAGAAAAGCTCTTCTATTTAACTCTCAATTTTCACCTTTATAATGGAATTAGAATTGATAACTAAATTAGATCACTCAGTATCGTTACAATCATTTTTTTTTCATCGCTATTCTCAAATGATTTAGAAATTTATATATCTTTTTCTTATCTATCTCATCGTTTTGAAAGTTCTATATTAGAATATGCGACCTATATCCAAAAGCTGTAAAAACACTAATACTATTCTTTTCTTAGCAACATTTCATCGTTTTGAAAATCAATGATTAATTTGAATAAGGAAAAAATTAATTTTTTATGCCTGAATAGTATAAAGAATTAAAATAATTCGTTTTGTTCAATATCTTTTCTGAAAAAATGTTGAAAATTATTTTTGAAATTAAGCAGAACTTTAAGATATGCTCATAGAGTGAGATAGTTGCAAATTAATTTTATCATTATTTATTTACATAAAGGGATGTGTTACTATGTTATCAAAGCATTGTCAATTGTAACTAGATAAGAACTGAATTATTAATTTGTCCCATAATAATCTTTTGATAGATATTTTTATGTAAATTAGTTCTTTATTAATACACAGGAAGGATTACTGATATATTCAACGTCTCTGTGGACTGATAGCGATATAAGAACTTATCAGTGCAATGGGCTTTTTTCAGTCAGAAATTTATTGCGCGAAGCATCGAAATATTAATGATTTCTCCGAATCCATTCCTTTAAATTAACAGACCGCCTTTGAAACATATGCAGTAAGTAATAGGTCAAAAATTGTTGATCACGAGAAAAGAAAAATTAAAGTAAGATAAAATAACGAAGCAACTCCTATGAAATAGCTCTCAGAGAAATATATTTAATAAAGTGGAATGCTATAAGTAATGCGCTCATGGAGCTTTTTCGAGAAAAGCCGAATTTCCAGTTGACGTTCAAAATGCAAAAAAATGTCAGAAGAACGCCCAAATCCCTTAATAACTTGCAACCTTGTTGACAGTTCTTACTTAATTCATTAAAATTTTCAGCATTTATTTGAAAAACATAACTCCATTCAAAAGCATTGCTAATGTTAAATGGAAATAGGGGATTAATAGACAAATGAACTGAAATGCACACCTATTACCACTTTTTGGTCCTAAAAATTTCTATAGCTTAATAATTTTTCGAACAGTTTAAATCAATGAAAACACTAAGTTCATAGAGAAAATCAGCGAAAAGTTATTGGAAAATTCAGCATTAAAAAAAACTCACTGCTTCTCCTAAAAAATTCCATTTCTCTACTTGACAAATCTTCTTAGTTTCATGAAAATAGACGATATCACATAGATCAGGTGACACAGATCATATCATATCCCAAAAATGGTTGAACATTTTCTTAGTTTTATCTCAACGTTAATTTTCATATATGTTCCTTAAAATATTCACTATACCGTACTCACATATTTTTCCAAAACGATTTATACCTACAAAAATTTAATTTTAATTTGAAATTTAAATTTTCAGATAAGTTCAGGTCACTGGTCTGATCGCATAAATATTGTTCAATGTCGTGGAAGCACTATGACCGCTCCGTCACCAAATTTAGCTAAACTTACAGCAGAAGTGTTGGATCAAGGGACAGGTAGTCGAGTTAAAAGTAATGTGGAAATTGATAATAGCTTGGCAGGCTTTGAACTTATTCCTCTGAGACCTGGATATTATCGTGATTCTTCAAATATATCAATATTGGTGAGCGATTAACGTTAAATATAAATATCGGATGATTTTTGTCTAAACAAATATTTGCTACATTTGATTGATCTTACTCTTTTTATATGGACTGAGCATTTTATAAAGAAATAAAAAACATGAATCAAAGTAATCAAGAAATGACCAATCAGAATCAATGATATAGATTAAATCATTCTTTGATTGATCAGAATTTCACAGATGGCTTTGAAAAATAATGTTGTAGATAAAATCAACGGATGGACCTTCAAGGAGAAAGCAAGCGGTGGAAATTAACGTTCGATGCATTTCCACAGATAAAAAGCAAACTGTTAATTTGAGAAGCTATAAGGGGAGAATTGGATTTCTTTTAACAATACCATTTTCATCCAGTTTATATGAACATACCTGTCGAGTGATATTTATACAGGTTATCTCTTCTCTTCTTTTTTCTTCAGGTAGGAGTACAAAAATCTGTTTCGAATGAAATTTTAACATGGATCAGAACTGAAAGGATGTGAATTAGTGAATTTAAAAAAGAGAAGATCTATTTCAAAATGTTTAATTCGAGAAGAATTTGTAAAGATGAGACTGAGCAAGCCAATATTTTTTTGATGGAAATGGAAAAACTTTGGCTAAGGCAGAGTTATATAATTTCTTTCACTTATCATTTCGAGAAAATTACCTTAAGTATTTATAAGCGAGCGAAACTCTGACATTAGTTGCAGATTTTTTCCAACCATTACAATAACACTACAGCACTTTCAAAATCTTTTGTTCTTCTTTTTCTTCGAAAGAGAAGTGTAAATATTATTTTTAATAGACATGAATTATTGAAGCAAGAAAGTGAAGTAATTTTTTGGACAAAAGTACTCTTCTTCATATGATTTATTTATTCCTTTTTCTTGGCGCAAAACATACTTTCCGTTTCTAACATACTGATTTTATCTTCACATGGACTTTCTACTGCAACAAAGATTTAGTTAAAATTCAAAATATTTAGGCTCGCCGTGAAATTGGTAAACAATTTTCGCGCTCCGTCACTTTGGTGCTACCGTCGATGGATCATTCAGAGTGGATACAACATGGTTGGATCCAATGGTCACTTCCCAATAATGCAACATATCGAGTTGGAGAGAAATTTCGAGCTTCTGTGCCATTACACTTGGCATCAAAATTGAATTATTTGGTTTGAATCCACAATTT